TGATGAGCGTGTGGCCCTGTGCAGCCAATGAACAGCAGCCCTGGGGTTTTCTCTATCTGCTGGGAAGCTGGGGCTCCCTTTCCACTGAAAGTGCCCAGAGAGGCTGGTGGCCACTCTTGCCGCCATGAGGGTAAAGCTCTGATAGGACAACAGAGTCAAAGAACAGCATAAGGTCCTGCCACTTGAGCCTCTGGAAGCAGCTGTCCCCTTAAAATTTTCATTTCATGCCTTTTTTTGCTCTAATCACAGCTGGGCTTGTAGCTTGTGGGCAGGATAACAATCTTGACAACATAGCCTGGAAGTGGCCTCCCCAGGTCTGCTGGCCTCAAGGCCTTTGTCCCTCCGTCTACCCTAGCCCTGCCCTTTGCCTCCTGGCCTCCAGCATGCATTGCTCACCCTGGTCAGCTCTGAGCAGAGGGTCTCAAACTCCTTCCTGTCTCCAGCGTAGAACCCCACGGTACAGCTTGGGTCCATCTTGGTGAAGGCCATCTTGCGGGGTGAGGTGCAATGGAAGGACTGGGGCAGACAAACAAGGGAGGCTCAGGGAGCTCCTACATGTCTCCAACCTCCCCCTCTCCCCTCGGAGCCCAGCTCACCTCGAGGGGGAAGTCAGCCTGGCTGACATCCACAGCAGGCTGGCAGTAGTGAGGGTCCAGGTAGAGCAGGAAGTCATCTGCAGGGGAGGAGGCGTGAGCAGGGGTAGAAAAGGGTAAGGTGGGCTGGGAGGAAGCAGGATGGGGCAGGCCTACCCTGGTAGCCGATGAAGTACAGCGAGTGGCGTGGCTTGCCCCCCATGATGCCCAGGCACAGCTCGGAACGCAGGAGTTCCTGCAGGGAAGAAAGTGGGCAAAAGTGACGACTCAGGGCAGGTGCTGTCATGCACTCAGCAAACTCTTAGCAGAGGCTCAGAGTGTACAAACCCAGGCCTGTGCTGGGCTCTGGGGGGCAGCAGTGACCAAGACAGACAAAACCCTGCCCTTATGGAGCTAATGTTCTAATGTGGGGGAACAAGGAACACGATGAATGAGCTATGTCAGAAGGTGGTAACACCCTGGAGAAGAACAGAGGGGAAAAGGCTTTGCAATTTTAAATAGGGGTCAGGAAACGCCTCATTGAGAGATGAGGTTTCAGCAGGCAGGGAGTTGAGTACATCTTGGGAAAGAGCACTCTAAGCAGAGGAAACAGCAAGTGCAAAGGCCCTGTGGCAGGTGTCTTCTGAGAACAGTGAGGAGGCCTGTGTGAATGGAACAATGTGAAGTGAGGCAGAGAGGGGACAGATAAGGTTAAGGAAGAGACAGGGATGTGGTGTGAGGTCTTGTGGGAGAGATCTTTGGCCTTTATTCTGAGTGTAAACATACTAGGGTCTTTCCAGCCTTGCTGTTCCCTTTGCCTGAAGCACCCTCTGGCTTCTCATTTGGTTCTGACTGGAGAGGGGCTTTCCTAGGCTGTGTAGCCACCCCCATTTGCCCTTCATCGTGTTAGTTTTGGTTCCTTTAGAGCCTGAGTTATAATGCCACATCTGTCAAATTGGTTCCACATCCACTGTCATTCCCCCATTGGAATGTCCACTGTCAGAGGGCACGGGTTGTAGCCTGTTCACCTCTGAATCCCCAGCAGTTGGGACAGTTCTTGGCACATAAGGTGTTCCATAACTACTGGAAAAACTGATGCAGGAAGCATAAACACATAACCCAAGATGAAGTGTGGAGGGATCCTGGGAGGAAGTGTGATGGAATCTGGCTGAACCTACCTTCACACAGGGCACGTACACAGGGTTGAGAGTCTCGCCACCCAGCCGCACGGGCACCAGGATGACCACAGACTTCCACTCAGCTGTGGGGTCTGACCTGGCCACCAGGCGGGCCACATCTGCCTTGTACACTGGAAAGACAGGGCAGCAGGTCACATTCATGCCCACCCTTCAAGCCTCAG